GGTTGACCTTCATTAAAAGGTTGTGGAGATTGTCGACTGACTTTGAAATCTTGGATCGATCAGTATTAGACCACCACTGTCTTCGGTGAACACTCCTTCACACCCGAACAGGGCTGAATTTCACTGGTCACGACTTCTCACTAGGATTCAGTGAAATTCCCTCACGGAGCTAGTCATTAGTGAGCTCATGATAATTTTCATTTCAGGCTTGTTGAGTTACTTTGAAACTAATCCTGGGTTCGATTCCTGCGAGTAGCGGAAGTCGTGGATGCTTACTGCTGATGAGTCTCATACTAGGATGAAATGGCCTCCTAGTGCTTCCAGGATTCTAATGGTGGCGTAACATTCATCAATTCATGATTTGAAAGTTAATCACCCCAACTAGTTTTACAGTTTAAGATGTATTTTACATTACATGACTGCCTTCTCTTTTCTTTTCTCTCTATGAACTGCTATCATTGTTGAATAAACTGTTTAATTTTCTCTTTACAATTATGTGTATTATTGATCTGACCTTTTAGTGAATCTACATTAATCATTCCTTCCAATCTTTATTGATTTATGTGTTTTTTGCCTGTGGTCTGACTTTATAATAGTTGACCAATGACCAATTCAGCACCTGCTTTATACTGTGATTATGCTTTAAAATCGGAATATTGATCAGTGCAGGTAAACTATGTGAACACTACTTATGGTAATACTGGTGGTAATGTCCGAACTTTTCTGGACAGAATGACAATCTTAGGTCAAGACATATGTTCAGTAATAACAATAATTATTATTATGTAATTATTTAAACATCTGAAAATTGGTACGACCTAGCATTTAAATAATTATTTAACATACAAACTATTGAATTTGTGAATGGGATGGGATACTAAGCGGGTGTCCAGACCGAGGCAAGTGGTTTTCTAAGGGGGATACTCTTCGAAAGTCTAATCTACAGGGCAGTGGAGAAATGTAAGTAGATACAGTCTTATGGTAGCCAATGGTGAACAGTTGAATAATACACTATTCGTTCCGTCAGGGCCTTGGAGTCAATGTACAGCAATGGTTTGAAATCGGAGTTTCCCAACTCTCCTAGGCGGATCCTCCATAGCCGTAGACCTGGTTTATGCTTTGGACATTTTCTTTTAGTCTTGTCAATTTCGTAGATAACGCTCACTAGAATGCATTAAGTAGGACTTCCCTAACAGTGGCTATTTACGCATGGCCATGTGAGAGCATTTAGATCACTGATATACAAATTTACCATACAGGATGCACAAAATGTTCCATCACTGTTGATATATCTCCACATGTTGGACAATGAAAATTAGGGAACTGGAACGTGAGTGTGCCAACTTCAGAATGTATGGAAAATCGCATTACAGTGACAAACTATCTACTTTGCTTGTCCTGGTATTGTAATCCTTGACTCCGAACGTTGACATTTGTCACATAATTTACAGGTATCAGACCCTTCAACTCAGTTGTAATCCATTCCATTCAGAGCTTCATGCATCTGTCTAAATTCTAGATAAATACAGTTCCATGAAGCTGTTGATGAACTGTCCTTATATGTTTATCACACTTTTGACTTTGCGAACGATTGTTATTTCTGCTGACAAATTTCTAACCACTTCCACTGAAAACAAACTACACGTACGACTTCTGAACTAGGTACGATGAGTGGTGAAGGGTAAAAGAGTTACCCACGTAAATTCCTGGACCATGAAATTGAGCACTTTCAGCTTTGGAAACATTACAACAAACAGCATGATTAGGAACAAATCACCTATAACTGTGACCATGCTCGAACATGAATCTGAGTAATCGAGCTCATTGTTATCAAAATTTTCGTCATTTATTGTGATTTTCTATTCCTTAATTAGTACTGTTAACAGCTACTATCGTTAATTATATTTTCATTTGAAATCTGGAATCGATCATTGTTAGAACACCATTAAAAAACTGGAAGAGCTGAAGGACCGTTTCGTCCAAGTGTGGAATTAATTAGTAGTGAACATCCAAGACTAAAGCTCGTAGAAAATCAAACCGAGGACCTTCAGTCCTGTGCGCGAACTCCTAACCCGTGGAACGCTCAGCCGGAATCCAAAGGTCTTAATGTCTAACTTTGATAAATCTAAGGATTTTGTGCAACCTCACCCATGATCTTCGGTAGTCAGCGGCTACACTCAACAGGTTAGATTCACTTTATATATATTTTATGTGATCATTTACGAACACATATCCTCATATGAGTGAAACTACTTTGCACGTTTAAAGTATAGTTGAAATACAAGTTTATTGAATATAGCTCAAATCAAACATATTTAAACACGGATGGATGGTCGAAAAATAATTAATTTCAATAAATTCTCTTTCCAGCTATTACAATTGTATATCCTAGTCAATAAATCCTTAAGCAGTCAGCTTTTAAGCCAAATATATCTTTTAAAATTAAAGCAAATGATTATTAGAACTGTTTGTAATATAACTTCAGACTAGTCATATCGAAATAGCTCTTGTGTCATGTCAGTGTGAATCAATTTTCATGTTAGTTGAAGTTATGAGATGAGTGATCAGAACAAATATAAATCAGATCAAATTATTGATCGGCTTGACATGAATTCAGTTAGAAATGATAAAGTCGAATAGGATCTAATTGAATTAGTCATAGAAAGTTTATGAACAAATAAATAGCCAACTAAATAGCTAGAACAGGAAGATTAATCCCAGTTCACACCACTGAAATTCAGATGTAAGGCAGTTAGTGAAATTGTGACTCAGAGATTTGCTAAAACAATCAAGACAACATTAAATGATAGAAATCACGTGCTCGCAAGCACTTTTGAGTGTGGCTAGACAAAGGCACAGTCAAGACTGTAAGTAACTCGAAGGTATCCTTTTCAAGCTCAATGCCAGAGTAAGTCGCTTATTCCGAAGTATTTGTCAGGTTGATAATTTCCCACAAAAACCAATCATTCTTTCCGACGTCATAAGCATTAGCCATTTGAATGAAAAGTCGGTGTTACATGTTCGGGACATGTATCTTCACATTACGGGGTTGTGAAGATTGTTACACACACACATTTTTGAAACCATGAATCGATCAATGTTAGACCACCATTAGAAACCTGAAAGCACTGGTCGGCCGTTTCATCTTGGTATGTGTAACTTAACAATCTTTACAACCCCGTAATGCAAATTACCTGTGCTCACTAGTGACTAGCTTCGTGAGGAATTTTCTCCGAGTTCTAGTGGGAAGACGTGACCACTGAAGTTCAACCTGTTCGGGTGTAGACAGTAACTACCGAAGACTGTGTATGAGGTTGCGCAACTCCGTGAATTTATCAAGTTAGACATTAACACCGTTAGATACCGGCTTAGTGGTCCAGAAGTTAGGGGTTCGTACACAGTACAGAAGGTCTTGGGTTCGAATCCTGAGGGGTGCAGGAGTCGTGGATGCGCACTTCTGAGGAGTCCAATACCAGGACGAAACGGCCGTCCAGTACTTCCAGGTTTTTAATGGTGGTCTAACATTGATCGATACATGTATCTTCAAGCTCTCCTCTTATCTGCGCCAAACTCACGTGCAGAAATTCAGAAGTCTTTTTAATTTTTAAATAAACTAATTTATCTAATGGAAATATACAACCTTTCCTCTTTTGAATAATCACTGTACTCACTACTTACTGACCCATTAAATATTTGGTTGAATTCAGAGTTACATCATTATTTCTCTCTCAATGTATGTCGCCTATATTTTACTTTAATTTGATCACTCAACTCAATAATTTCAATTAACATGTAAATTGATTCACGTTAACATTGCATCATAGTCATTTCGGTTGGAACAGTTTGAAGTTATATTACAAACAATCCGAATAATTATTTGCGATTTTGCTTAAAAGCTGACTACATTAGGATTATTGATTTGGATATACAACTGTAGTAACTGGAAAGAGCGAACTGATTGAAAATAAAATTAATCTTCGTTCAAACATCTGAGTCGAATGCATCGAACTTATCGTTTTATATTTTGATGTTAAAAAAAATCAATAAATCGTTGAATTATTGATGTAAGTATGGAAAATTTCTGAACGATGAATGCATATAATTCAGATAGTTTTTTTAGTCAATCATAACTGATTAGTTCATTGATTTGATCTATCCGAATTCTTTCTGAATATCAATTTAATCATTTTTTCGATCAGTAAGCAAAAAAAACACAGGATATATCTGCTTGACTTAATGAATTTGAATATTCTATTGAAATACTCATTCGATTCTTGTTAGACCACCATAAGAAATCTGTAAGCATGAGATGTCCGTCTCGTCATGGTATGGAACTCATCAACGGTGCGCGTTGACATCTTTTGCTACTCGCAGTATTCGAACCTAGGAACTTCGATTTTGCACGAAAAAGACCAGCTTCTAGATCACTGTTAGGATATTCATCCAATATCCTAAGAGAATTATTGGTCAAATCCTATTAGTCGATTTTTATTGGTCAAAATTATGGTCGTTTTAACTGTCAAAGTCAAATACTTCAGTGTTGTCTCTGATTGGTGATCCTGACTCTCAATGTCACTTCAAATATTTCTTCCTATTGGTCGTCTTAACTGTCAATGTCACAGACGTCGATGCTGTTTTTCATTCGACCAAAATGTATAAATACGCATTATCTGAACCGTTTTATGACCGAGACCAGGACCAGTATCCGGTCCCGGATCCCTAGTCCGTGATCCTGATTCTCTTCTGCATTCGGACGTCATACTTTCTGGATGCTTGTAGAATACAGGTTCTACTTCATATCAAGTCTTGTCTTCTTTTACTCAATCTGGGGGTCTGGATAATCGGACTTGAGTAGTATGTCGTGTCACCGGATCCTCGGTCCTCTGTCTCTAGTTTTCCGACAAAGGTAAACTCGTAATAGTTCAAGTATATCAAGTTGACGTGTTTACGTACAGGTGTAACAATCACAGAGCCAGTTAAACATTAATACAAGTAGATATGTGAAAATAATTGTATATTTAATGTAAAACACTAAACAATACATTAGTCAATGCACATGAATTGAATAAGTCATTCTCAGTCAGGAACACTGAAACTATTTCATTGACCACATATGACATAATCTCTCTGAAACACACATTTTTTAATTGGTTTTATGTTTTGACCTCTAAGTGAACAGAATTTCTTTGTTCAAACATTTTTGCCACAAAGTATCATAAAACATTATGAATTGAAATTGTCGAAAGTCGCAAAAAAACAAAACCAAAGCATAATTCAGAAATATCAATCACTTAAACATTATTCATAATGATACTGATAATAATAATAATAATAATAATAATAATAATAACTGTCATAGTAGTATAATGATAAAAATTTACATTTAAGATTGGCGCATTTGTCACAAATCAATAAATAGAGTTAATGCATGTCCATTACATTTGAATAGTCTTGAAAATGATAGATAATAATAGTAATAATAATAATAATCATAATAATAATAATTAAAATTATAATCATAATTAAAAATTTTCATGAATAAGGAAAAAAAGTCATGTTGTTGATGCTTCTGTTATAAAACGATGATAGTTAAATAAATCAATGTTTTGTTTTGTGTTTTTTTCCGATGATGAATAACAACAATAAACTTCTATTTGAAGTTGGTTTTTTTCAGTGAAAAAAAAAGTTAAATAGTTCATTCAAAACGATTTTTTTTTATTTTAATTAAAAAAAATTAATTCATTCTTCACCATCTAAGAAAAAAAATGAAATAAAATAACCAATGAATTAGTTAAACAAAGCCAGTATAAAATGTTTAACTGTAGTGAACAATTTTATACCGGTGAAATTGAAAATAAAAAAACAGGCGGGCTACTGAAGATTTTTTCTCGCACAGCAAGGATTCTTTCTCAAAACTGACTCTGAAAGTAGCACATTCCATCTACCCTTCCACGGATTTCATTCTGCTAAGACTTTAAGCACTTGTAGTCAAGAGACAAAATGCTACCTACGAAGATGACATGTTTGACAGGCTGCAAGCAGTTGTTCCTCGGGCGTCTTATCTATATCCATGTATTCTAAGACGAAGTATCCTTCTACGGCATGTGTAATCTGGAGACAGTAACCGGCTTCACACCTGTAATGGCACCTTGTTCATGTTTATCCCTTCCTATCAACAATCTTTATCTTATGAGTTTGTTTTTATCTTCACACTGTCAACTATGCTGAAGCTTCGAGTTCATGAATTGATATTCTGAGATTCCTGGATGTCAGTGTATTAGAACTTATGCACCTCATAAAATTCAACATCCTACTGATTCAAAAATATACTCTCTTACATTGATTTATCAAAATCATTAAAGAAAGATTATGTACTTTAAAAACACTAAATTTTTTTTTAAATGTATATTGTTGTTTGAAAAAAACCAACTTGAAATGAATGTTAAATTAGGAATAAAATATTACTAAAGTTACACACACTACTCTTAAATGAATTAAGAATTGAACTTCAAAATAAAATTTAAAAATGAAACTATACAATGTAACATTGTTGGTAAAAATGTAAACTACATTTTGTATAACTACATTTGATAAAAATTCTACTGTCTACATAAAATACACCTTTGCGTGTTGTGCTGACAAATAAACTCTATGCAAAATAGTTCATTGTTACATAATACTGATTGGTGACACCAAATACTTCGGTGTGTGTCTTTTAGTTTCGCCATTTTGACTGTGACTTTCATTGTTGTAATGAGTGAAAAAGATAATCTCAAAACTTAGGTTTTATGGAAGATAATCTGTAGGTAAATTACATTGTTTTCTGGAGTAAAGAATTATTAGAAACCTGAGAGCGAGAGAATACTACACTTTACATAGTATTCTACAATAAACTGAGAACTTATGGATCACTGAAATGTGGTTTATTGACATGTCTTTTTATCTAGGCTACCTGGTTAGGGTCCGCGAGACGAAAGTCACCAATGGTTAGAGACATTGAAAGACAAGGCTCAAAATCGTTTGCAGTGGCACAAATGCATCCATTCGTTGTGCTCTCTCAAATCCTAATCTTCTGGATTCGTCAGCACCTCTACCTTTGTCTTTCTAACCTTATCTCACTGAATTATACTTTTTGAATAATATCTTCAAACCCTAGTCTTCTAAATTACCATTAATACTTCGACTATCTCTATCACTATGGGATTTGATTTGACATTTGCGTCTCTGTGCTAATGTGGTACGTACGTACGTACGAAGTTCTACGTTGCAACTGACTGACTGACTGACCTTTGTTGAAGCCTTCCATTGCTAATAGTGCTTCAAAATGGAACTTTACGAATCCTATTCAAGGTTATTTACCATTAAGTAAATGTTTAATTTAGCTTTCAGCTGAGGAAAAAAAATAGGGAAAATGCGCTGGGAGTGGATAAGGGATACATTGCGAAAAACACCCAACTGCGTCATGAAGTAATGCTCAAGGCAAAAGGAAAAGAGTTAGACCATAGAACACACTGCATCGCAAATTAGAAACAAACATTGCAAAAAATGAACAGAAACTGGATAGAACTAGAAAAGATGTCAAAAGATAGCATTGGTCGGATATTACCAATTAGTGGCTTATCCGTCACATGAGGCAACAAGTGTGAGTAGGTAAATGTTTAGTGTTTTCTAAAAGAAAAAGTAGTTTTTCGAACACCATGTCCAATAAAGAAAAATGTGGAAAACCCAAATCTCAAAAAGTTTATCATATATTCTAATCAGCCTTTTATCTATGCAAGGTAAATTTCCTAGATATCATGCATAGCGGCAGTACAGAAACACAAACACATTCACAATTTATGTCAGTGAACATAAAGAATACATAGGCCAGTTAAAAATTAGTTGATTTTGTTCGAAACCAAGAAAAAAAATTCAATACTACACATCTAAAAATTAATTTGAAGTAAAGCAGAGCGATCAAAATTGTCTAATTTACTGATTAACACTTGACCAGTTCTACGTCGACAACTTACCCTATGTCATTATAATCCAAGTAAAGGCAATCAGAGAGAAATTAGATAAAGTGGGTAGATTAGTATATTATGTGTGAAAATTATAATTCAGTTATCATTTCTTACACACACAAAAAAACACGATTTACAGTAAAAACGAAAACCTGTAGATAGTTTTTAAAATCAAGGTTAATCATCAAAGTTCAATACATGCGATTATTAAATAATGAAGATGTTATACACGATTCATGAGATTGTCCTTTTCACTTCGTTAGGTTCATTCAACAAAACACAACACACAACTGGGAGAATTTATACATGTATTCAATATCGTTTCGCATTGTTATATACATGACCTAAACGACCTTGATTCAAGGTTTTGTTAGCTATTTGAATAGGACGTAATCGATTCGGATAAATACACAATTAACAATGATATAATTCTCTTCAAATAACAACTTCTTTGTGTTTGAATTTCTGTTCTCACTATTCAGGTTATTTATCTGTAAAGCTATTCAGAAATCATGTGCTTCAGTCAATCAGTCAATCGATTTGATTTATGATGTCACAACCCGCTTCTCGTTGTAAACAACAGGAGACCAACCGCTGTTGGTTATTTGACTGCTCTACTATAGTGTCGTAGAAATTCATCAGCTCTGTGAAACTTATAGTAGCACATGAATTCACAAGATATAAGTTTGGAAACAATCAATAACAACAAGTAAACCAGGAAAGAAATTGAAACAGAATAAACTGAACACACAGCTAAGTTGCATAATCAAAGATTACAGTCATTCTTGTAAAGAAATCTCTATGTTTTAAAATTAGTGGCTGAGTGATGGGTAGAGTAGTCTTTTAGGATAAAACTAGCTGTTAAGCGCTCATGTTTATTAAACACAAAGTAATTATATTTTGGGGCAGAGTTTTGGAGGTTTGTGTTTTTACACACATTTGAAATCATCAATCAATTAATCATTGTTACTAGACCACACCATTAGAAACCTGGAAGCACTGAAAGACGGCCGTTTCGTCCTGGTATGGGACTGCTTATCAGCAGTGCGCATCCACGACAAAGTAACTAACTGTTTCTTCAGCTACATACTATAACTAACAATCTATAAAGTTCAGTGGTATATAATTATGGTTAAGGATAGTAAAAAGTTTCGTCTCAACTGGTTTTCTCTTCATTTTTACAACACGATGTAACAAATGTAACAAACTATTCAGAGTTTTTTTAACGACCAGTAACTTGATGTATACTGAAATGCTACTTTCTTTTATTCCCCATTTCATCTCTTCAATACATGCATATATATCTGGTACTGACAATGATCACAATGCATGACCTAAAGATGGATACATGTTTGCATGTTTTTTGTACATTCTCTCACTGGAGGTAATTAGAACGAGAAAATGCATATCAATGTGCATCGTTGGCAAAATTTTTTTTTCAAAAAGAGTTGCTGATTGCTTTCCAGTTCAGCTAGTGAAAAATAAACGAGACAACAAATCAATAAACCCCCCAAAAAAAAAACTATTCCAGTTTGATGATATTACATCAATGTAACCATTAACTTTTCATGCAGAATAAATCAATTATATTTCAGAAACTACAGTTCATATTCTATCTATATGAAAGAAAGTAATTTCTCTGTGAATAATAATAATGGAATTAGAAAAGAATTCACTGTAGCGTATGACGTATCGATCTATTTTGTAGCTGATTCTTTTTGAGTTTTTATCAATGTAAGGGAATCGGTATTTTGATGAGTAAATGCTACATTGGCTTCAAGCTTTAATTTATCTTCTTATCTCTAATGCTTTCATCCAATAAGTTAGGATACTACCCCATATGGTGGCAAGTCATAAATGAAAGAGTTTTTAATTGAGTTAAAAACAAATTATCCCCCAAACAAGAACTATACTCATTTCTGTTTAGCACTCATCATTTAAATGAATATTATCATACTCAAATAATATCACATACTGAAGAAATATTAGTGAATCTCCCAACAACCAAAAAATAGCGATATTCTCAAAAAAAATATTATCAATAACATTATTTAGAACGACTGTGGAAGATTTGATTTTTGTCCAGCGATCAAGCTTAAGCATTTTTAAAAATACTAACATATGTTTTTCCTAACGATAAATATCTGATTCAAACTCATTTTCTATGAAAGCAGTTGTGATGATTCTCAAATATTCGGTATGTAACACAATTTAATTTCCAATATTATGCTGACATAAATTTGTCAGTCAGTGATGAAGGAATAATCAAGTTTTAGTAAATACATATCAATCCTCCTCCGGATAGCTCGGCGATATTACAATTTTGCACCGTGAAGCTGGACGACACGTGTTTGAATTCTTCAAGTAGTAACATTTCCTTGAAAAATTACAAGTAGATCTTTCTGACAAACACCAAACACAGTTCCTGGTCGACTAATTTCAACTGTCCTTTTACAGGAATGACTGAGAAATTTTAAATTTATCAATGTATCCCCTATCATCATCAACTCTGAATAATTCTGGGGATTTCATTTTATTAATGATAAACTGTTATTTTATAAATGCTATTTTATTAAAATTTGAGATAATGGATGTACTTTAGTAATAATGTCATTAGTAATTATTATTTTCAAACGGATACATTAAATAGGGATTTAACGATAACACTTTCATCGATTGGCTTAAATGTATAAATTTAATCTGTAAAACATACTCTAAACTAAACTTAACTACTCAACTAATTATCTTCAAACAGTAAAAACAGTTGAATTAGACTATCAGTTCATCATCCGATGCAACACAACATGCACCAACCAAATCACTCTTGATGGAGATGCCTTGGAGCACATTACCACCTTTACATATCTGGGCAACATCATCGACAACCAAGGTGGATCCGATGCAGATGTGAGGGCGCGGATTGGCAAAGCAAGGGCTGCATTTCTACAGTTGAAAAATATCTGGAACTCCAAACAACTTTCAAACAAAACAAAAATCAGCATTTTCAATACAAATGTGAAGACAGTTCTACTGTATGGAGCGGAAACTTGGAGAACTACGAAAGGCATCATCCAGAAGATACAAGTGTCTATTAACAATTGTCTACGCAAAATACTTCGTATTCATTGGCCAGACACCATCAGCAACAACGAACTGTGGGAGAGAACAAACCAGATTCCAGTGGAGGAGGAAATCAGGAAGAGGTGATGGAAGTGGATAGGACACACATTACGAAAAGCACCGAACTGCGTCACGAGACAAGCCCTTACATGGAAGCCTCAAGGCAAAAGGAAAAGAGGAAGGCCAAAGAATACATTACGCCGAGAAATAGAGAAAGATATGAGAGGAATGAACAAACATTGGACAGAATTGGAGAGGGAAGCCCAGGACAGAGTTGGTTGGAGAAAACTGGTGGGCGGCTTATACTCCATTGTGGGTAACAGGCGTAGGTAAGTAAGTAAGTATCAGTATATCAATGAAAGTTATGCAAACATTGAAACACAATGAAGCTTGAACAGTTGCGATTGTTCTAAAAGTTATACTGTCAACATATGAAAAGTGTAAATTGAATTATTCATTCATAAATATTAATAGTCTTTTATGAACCATTCTTAGCAAGACCAGTTTTGAAATGAGGAAGCATGAAATGCACAATGATGAGAAGTCAGACAACAGACTATCATTCATGGAAATATCAATCACCGGAATTGATGCAGGAACATTGAAGAATCAAGTAACTCGGAAGCTAACCCACACAGATTTAATTCTCAACTACAGCAGCCACAACTTAAAAACTCAGAAGATCAAAAGGATGAGAACATACATCAGCGCTTAGCGAGGAAAAAAAACTATCTAAGGACCATCTGTCAGAATGAAAAAAAAGTCTATTCACGCGGTTTCGTCAAAAAGTTATCAATTCGACTTGTCAGAAAAATCAAATTTAAATATTGAAACTGACAAACCACATCTAACATAAATCGAAAAGTACAATGAAATTATTGCAGCTGTTTGCAACAGATACATCACCTGCACATGCGAAATCACTTCAGTGAATCCAGTGGAAATTAAAGAGGGAGAAACATTGAACGTCATCTACTAAATAAACTGCTCCAATCACGAATCTCTACATCACATCCGACAAAGTGCGCTACGATGTATCGTCCGTTATATCAATACATCTGGACAATTTCGGACACATATTCGGTTGGAATCCTTGATACGGGGAATGCTAAGAAGATCAGGAAATTTTTCGAAATTCGGTGCGCAAATAAATGAGCAATCAAGAAACACGTTTAAGCCAATTCAATTATCAATCAATCAAAAAGAATTATGGACAAGAATAGAAGCAAGAATCAGATCGTAAGGAGATATAATCAAAACGAAGAGGCAGGTAACAGCATGTTAAAGATGAATAACAACTTATGAAGATCAAGGTTTACAAGACAAGTTGTGAGTCATTTGTGGAGAAATGTTTTACTCTTACCTCAAGTTAGTGCTAACGATGTCTTTTACAAGATATTCTAATGCTCCTCGACCGAAACCATCCAATTCAAAGAAAGAACCTCTATCAAAGCTGCTCAGTATTAGTTTTAAACTCTTTTTCAATACGCATCGACAACCTCGGCGCAGGGAGTCGAGTCTGATACCTTCACTTTGGTTTAACACACGAACGTTTAACGATTAGACCAAAGAGAGGCAGCAAATATTATTGTTAACAATTCAAGGTTTAATCATTCAAAATATAATATGTAAATACTCCAAAAGAACTAACACAACTTACTTCTGTAATCTCTTTCAATAACGACTGTTTTGGTGAAATGAAAAAAAAAGAAAGATTCGAAAGAGAAAAATACAATTTTTATTTTTTTTGTTTTAAAAAAAACGGATAAAGTTTCAAATAAACAAATGAAAACTAATTTGTAATTGAATATTGAACGTTAACAAAATTTAAGAATTAGTGTATGACTGAAATAGTGTTAATACACACACGGACACACTCTCACCTACACACATTTAAGAAATAGGATAATAGTGAATATTGAAAAACGCTTTGAAATCGATAAATCTATATATATATATATATGAGATCATTTCAATGAGGAGTTAGGGAACATTCTTCCTTTTTTTTAGTCAACTAAACAAGTTATTCAGTAGGAATTTAATAAGAAAGAATAAATTTGATGAACTATTATTGTTAATCATTCATGGCATTACGGGGTTGTGAAGATTGTTAAGTTACACATTTTTGGAAACCATGAATCGATCAATGTTAGACCACTCCATTAGAAACCTGCAAGAAGCACTGGACGGCCATTTCGCCCTGGTATGGGACTTCTCAGCAGTGTGTATGAGGTTGCGCAACTCTGTGAATTGATCAAGTTAGACATTAACACCGTTAGGTACTGGCTCAGTGGTCCGATAGTTAGGCGTTCGCCTACAATACCGAAGGTCCTGGGTTCGAATCCTGCGGGGTGCAGGAGTCGTAGATGCGCACTGCCACTGAGGAGTCCCATACCAGGACGAAACGGCCGTCTTTCAGTGCTTCTTGCAGGTTTCTAATGGAGTGGTCTAACATTGATCGATTTTATGGTTTCAAAAAATCATTCAATCTATGATCAATCTATGGAATGTTTAAAATCAACACATTACCAGTGGTTGATGTCATAATTTTTTTGTTTTTAGAACTAATAAAATAGTTTATCTTACCCCACTCAAATTGTTTCACATTCTTGAAATGTACCCTTTATTTGATATACATATATATATATGTATGTATAAGTTATGCAGCCAATATTAAATGCTTGTTAGTAAGTTTTCTGTAGTACTAAATTATGATTTAAAATTAACTTGATGTTTCCAGTGGACAGTTCAAGATGTGATTTTGAAATGGAGTAGGTGACTTTGCAAGCACAATTTTTAAATCATTAATGTGTAACGGAGTCAAAATCACTATGTAGATATTGCTAACCCATCCTGTTTTCTTTCTATTTCAGGGCGATCAAACACTTACGCTTTGGAAGCAGAAGAACAAGCCCTGAATGCTCTGAGCTTACAGGAGGACACATAAGACATCGGGACACCGCCCACTCTATTTCTGTAGAAACCCCGCGTGTTTAATCTTAAACATAAAGATTGCGACTTCGTGTTCTCTCTCTTGGTGTGAAGTGTTGAGCTAACTCTGTGTGTTGCGATTTTAGATCGGACCCGCTGTCCGGTGACTACTGTAAACGCGTGTTACAATTGGTGATGGAGGTGCCTACCGGAAAACCTAAATCAAAACTAGAGGAACCCCCAGTACTGCCAGCCAAGGCAACAACTACCGCAAGTCCCCGGCAACCACCACTTTTAGAAACGTCGTCTGATTATTCAGTGTGGAGATTTAGAGTCGAAGCATACCTGAGTAAAGTACCTGTTTCAAAGCACTTCGACTACCTGGTATCGTTTTTGAGCGACGAGGCTGTAAAAAGGGTGACAGTATATGGATTCTCAACAAATAACTCCCTATCTAGAAACTGGAATATATTAGACGAGTGTTTCTCACTACCTGTGGACAACCTGCAGGTGACAATCCAATCTCTGTCACGTCACCAGAAAGCTGGTGAGAATCCTATTGAGTACCTGGATTCCTTAAAGCAAATTGCGGTCAAAGCATTTCCTGAGCTAGATGTCGCCGGACGAGACGAGTTGGTACGCTTACGCTTCGTCGAAGGACTGGTGCACAACCCATTAAGAGAACACTTACTTCGCACGCCACCGACAAATACCATCGATTTGAAGAAGACTACTCTCCGATTTATTACGGCAGATAGACTGTCACATCCATCAGAAGCCCAACAACATTCAGTGATGACAGTGGAACAAATCATAGAACCGAGTCATGTAGATTGTCTTCCGAAAGCCACAGCGATCGCACTCATTCCCAGCCGGGCTGTTGGTCGTGGGGCCTCAAACTCGACTTGGAACAAACGACCACCGTATAACAATTACTGCAGTCGTCAAACGGTTTGTATGTATTGTATAGGGTTTGGTAAGAACGCGTGGAGATGTGGACATAACCGACCTCGAAAGCCAGGTGAACCATACATTTACTATTTATCTTCCTGTCATGTTAATCATATCAGCCCGATCACCCTTAAAGGTAGAGTGCAAGGTGTGGTGATTGACATACTGCTAGACACTTGTGCTTCCGCATCCCTCATCAAGGAAGCGCTATTAAAGAGACTGCACCATAAGGTCCAGCAGAAACGATGCTCCTCAGCATTAATAACAGCTAGTGGGGACCCACTTAAAGTGTGTTATAAGACAGTATTAGACTTAACAGTAGAGAAGTGTTCGGTTCGTCACGAGTTTTTAGTTTGCCCTACATTAACCTGGGACATGATACTGGGCGTAGATTTTATGTTAAAACACCAAGTTTCTATATTTATGCATAAGGCAGAAGCAAAAATTGGCGAGGCTACCGTACACTTACACCAGTTTGCAGGGGCAAATAAGCCTGTAGCTCACATTGGAATTTCAGAGTTAGTACGTCAGGTGGAAAGCAACCAAATGATACATGAAATTGATCGTCGGGCAACCGTGGCTGTGCTCCGACAGTTTAGTTCTGTGTCCGAGGAAAGCATTTCTGGAAATTGTACGAATACAGTGCAAGACTCTATTTTCACAGGGGATCATATGCCCCTCCGACAGCCGCCTCGCAGAGTACCCATACACTACCGACCACAACTAGAGTCGATGATAAAGGATATGTCAGACAAAAAGATCATAGTCCCTTCATCATCTCCCTGGGCGTCTCCTATTGTTCTTGTGAAGAAGAAGGACTCCTCTCTCCGACTCTGTGTAGACTACCGACGCCTTGATGCCATAACTAAACGAGATTCTTTTCCACTTCCGCGCATTGATGCTACACTGGACGCCCTAAACGGTGCTTGTTGGTTTTCCACCTTAGATCTAGCATCTGGGTACTGGCAAGTAGAAGTTCGACCGAAGAATAGGAATAAAACTGCATTTATAGAACCAAATGGTTTGTATGAATTCCAGGTAATGTCCTTCGGATTAACACAATGCTAACCTGAAAGCTGTTCTGCAGCGTCTTAGACAACATAACCTAAAAGTAAAACCATCCAAATGCCGTCTCTTGCAGAAGGAAGTAGTATTCTTAGGACATCGTATCACCGCAGATGGCGTGAGTACAGATAATGAGAAGACGCGTGCCATTGTTACTTGGCCGCAACCAAAAACACCTGATGACGTTCGCAGCTTCCTGGGTCTCGCATCCTATTACAGACGTTTTGTTCGTGACTTTGCATCATTGGCAGCACCTTTACACAGATTGACACATAAAGAACGGAAATTCCTATGGACCAGCGAGTGTCAACATGCATTTGATACATTGAAGGCACGGGTAACCACACCACCAATATTAGCCTTTCCCGACACCTCACCAGACGGAGGTGAGTTCATACTCGATACGTATGCTAGTTCCTCAGCCATCGGAGCAGTTCTGTCACAAGTAGCCCAAGATGGCCAGGAGAGGGTCATTGCGTATGCCAGCCGACAACTAGACAAAAGCGAAGCACGGTATTCCACAACACGTCGAGAAATGCTAGCACTAGTAAAATTCTTACAGCACTTCCGTCATTATCTACTTGGTAGACCTTTTCGTGTGCGCACGGATCACCATGCATTACAGTGGCTTCGTTCTTTTCGTGAACCAGAAGGACAAGTAGCACGCTGGCAGGAACGTTTGCAAGAATTCGACTTCATATGCGAGTACAGTCCTGGGAGCAGACATACCAATGCAGATGCTCTCTCTCGCCTGACTCTACCCACAGATACCGTTGCAGCAATTTAGAGTACGGCAAAAGAGACTGACTGGTCCTCACTGCAAGCAGCAGATCCGGATTTACAGATTATTTATCTAAGACAATTACATGGGAACAATAAACCATCCATGAGAGAGTTAAGAGACCAGTCCCTCGCCACGCGTCGTATTTGTAACAAATGGGGTAACTTAAAATTATACGGTAACACGTTATTCCTAGTTAATGAGTCCAGACAACCCCTGCTTATAGTACCGCAAGTAAAGACCCAGAGTATTGTGGAGCAAGTTCATCGCGAACTCAGTCACACCGGAGAACGAAGAACTGAATATGCTGTTTGCCAGCGCTTTTGGTGGCCGTCTATTCACGAAGATGTAGCTGACTTCTGCAAAAACTGTAACACGTGTTGTCACATAAAATTGCCGAAGCAAACACCACGTGCACCGTTAATGCCGATGGGAACAACTGGACCGCACCAGCGAGTCGGTATCGATATTATGGGACCATTGACGACGACAGAAAAAGGAAATCGCTACATATTAGTTATGGTAGATTATTTTACAAAATGGTGCGAAGCAGTACCTATTCCACAGCAAGACGGCCAAACTGTCTCACGGGCTTTCATTGATTATTGGATCTCCCGTTATGATGCCCCACTCTCACTCCACTCAGACCGAGGCCCGGCATTTGAAAGTCATCTGGTTGCCGAAATATGCAAGTTATTCGGAATAAGGAAGACGCATACTACCGCATATCACCCGGAAGGTAACGGTCTAGTCGAAAGGACAAATAGAACCATTAAAGCTATTTTACAATCGTTTATCAGCAGATCGTCATCCGAGTTGTGAGACGAGGTGCTTCCTCAATGCATGCTAGCTTATCGAACATCTACGGGATTCTCATCTGCTATTTTACTATTCGGGCATGAACTACGCCTCCCGGTAGAGATACAGTCGCCTTTACTACCGCACGAAGAACAAAAACACGTGCCGTACGTCCGCACTCTCCGCAACCGTCTGGCTGATGCGTACCGCTTAGCCGACATCAACTCGCTTAGGGCTAATGACCGTCAAAAAGACATGTATGATCGTCAGGTGCAAGGACCAGTGTATAAAGTTGGAGACCGTGTCTGGTTACGCCGTCCCATGACTTCAGTAGGAAGTTGCAGTAAATTCCACTAGCATGGTTCCTTCGAAATCGTCCTCATTCGATCCCCCATGACGGTTGTGTTACGTAACCCGCAACGACCTCAGGACGATGTAATAACGGTGCACTACAACCAAATAAAGCCAGATCGGACAACAATACCTGCTGATGCTCGGTTCACAGATCCATCACCTGCCACTAGTTTTTATGAGATACCGCCTGAAGGGGGAGCAGCATATCCCTGTCCGAAACCGAGCACTGAAGACAGTGCCTCATTAGGAGAGGGGGTGGTGTAACGGAGTCAAAATCACTATGTAGATATTGCTAACCCATCCTATTTTCTTTCTATTTCAGGGCGATCAAACACTAACGCTTTGGAAGCAGAAGAACAAGCCCTGAATGCTCTGAGCTTACAGGAGGACTCATAAGACCCTGACACACCGCCCACTCTATTTCTGTAGAAACCCCGCGTGTTTAATTTTAAAAATAAAGATTGCCTTGGCGACGACTTCGTGTTCTCTTTCTTGGTGTGAAGTGTTGAGCTAACTCTGTGTGTTTTGATTTTAGATCGGACCCGCTGTTCGGTGACTACTGTAAACGCGTGTTACAAATGATGAATTAGGAAACAATATTTGAGAATAAATAAGGTATTGTAGACCTATTTTCCGGGGGTAATGATTATTTTATGATTTAAAACAATATGCAACGTTAAGGCATTAAATGATCACTTTCAATACTCTGTATGCATTTTACGAAGAATTTTATGCCAGAAAAAGTGAAGTGGTTCAATGTCGAAATGATTAAAAACTACTGATAATTGAGAGATTGAAATTTAATAAACTTTGAAAGTAAGAATAAGATAAATAATTATTTTTCAATCAGAGTTATGGAGATTATTGATTTTACACATTTCGAGTGGTCAATCAATCATTTTTGGACCACGATTAGAAACCTGGAAGCAGTAACTACCAAAGACAAATAGGTGCGATCACGCAAAATTCGTAGATCAAACAGAGTTAGACAAGAACACCGTTGGGTGCCGGCCCAGTCGTCTAGAGGTTAGTCGTTCGCGCGCTAGACTCAAGGTCTCGGTTCCGAATCCTGCGAGGTTCAGGAGTCGTGGATGAGCACTGCTGATGAGTCCCATACTAGGATGAAACGGCCGTCTTTCAGTGCTTCCAGGTTTCTAATGGCGGTCTAACGATGATTGATTGATGATTTCAAATGTGTAAATAATTATTATTGTCGTTATTTCTTTCCATAAAAACAATCTGCCGAATAAGCTTGATAAATTGTCTTTCAAAGATGTTTAAGATAACATTACTTTTGAATATATTTATTTGTATATTAATTCAAGGTTGGTTGGTTGTTCTGTTTTAAAAAATAGAAACTTATTATCTAATCAGTTGTTTAAATCGTAAATAATATTTGTCATAGTTCATTAAGAAATAATTAAGAAAATAGAATAAAACTTACTGTTATGTCCGCGTTGTTTACAGTCTACAGATGAATAAAGCGGTACTATATCTGTAGAAAGATGAAAATCATTTTGATGTTGAAATTTATGCAAAATAACTGTATTCAAACACTGTCCCGCTGCCTGTTTTGGACATCCTCATCCACATTATCATCAGCATCATCACCAAATACCACATCCGAATCATCATCATCGACATCATCCGAACCATCGACAGCATCCGCATCATCATAATCATCATCCGATTCATCATCAACATCATCATCCTCTGAACCATCGTCATCATCCAAATCATCGAACTCATCCTAATCATCATCGACATCATCCGAACCATCAACAGCATCCGGACCATCGACATCATACGCATCATCATCATCATCATCCGAATCATCAACATCACCACCATCGACATCTTCTGAATCATCATCATCCGAACCATCATCGCCATCCACATCATCGACCTCATCCGAATCATCAACATCGTCATCATCACCGACATCATCCAAGTCATCATCGCACAAATCATCATCATCATTATCGGCATTATCATCGACATCATTCGAATCATCAACATCTTCGAAGTCATCATCGTCCGAATCATTATAATTTATCAACGACTATTTATAAAATTGCTGCTTCTTATGAAAACACCAAACAGATCAGATAAAATTTGATCATTCGTATTACAGATAGAAACGAATTGTTACTGCTGCTTAAAAAGTTTTCATTTAAATTCTGTTAATTATTTTCATGCTAATCACTACTACTACTACTAATACTACTACTACTACTACTACTACTACTACTACTACTACTACTACTACTACTACCACTACTTACACAGATTGTTTCAATAAATAATACTACGATTATAAATTCAGTGTAAGTTTACCTGTTAGTTTAGTTGTCTTATAATGATCATCAAAAACAATGTATGTCATTGAAGAGTTCCACTATACGAAATGATGACCCTTTGACAATCTACTATGCATGCATACATGCACTTACTATTGAATATCACAAAATATTACTATTTAAACAAGCCAGTAAACTTACATGAACAATATTGAATTCCTTTGGCTGAACCACTTGAACTTCCTATAATACATTAAGAGAAATTATCAATAGAAACAATTAAAAACGAATTGAATTTTTTACAAAGAACTTAATCCATGAGATATTTGAACTTTGTACTCTCTTCATTCATGTATTATTTAAAAAAGTCTTTACATCAACACCACTATAGTCGTTACTAGTACTATTTCATTCAGTTTCAGTAGAAGAGAAATTGATGTTTGCTTTGGTCCGTGACAGGACGAGTAAAATTAAAATTCCAATTAACCTATCGTGATTCTCCGATGCAACACAACATGCACCAACCAAATCACTCTTGATGGAGATGCCTTCGAGGACGTTAACACCTTTACATATCTGGGCAGCATCATCGACAATCAAGGTGGATCCGATGCAGATGTGAGGGCGCGAATCGGCAAAATATCTGGAACTCCAAACAATTTTCAACCAAAATCAAAATCAGCATTTTCAGCACAAATGTCAAAACAGTCCTACTGTATGGAGCGGAAACTTGAAGAACTACGAAAGGCATCATCCAGAAGATACAAGTGTTTATTAACAGTTGTCTACGCAAAATACTTCGGATTCGTTGGACAGACACCATCAGCAACAACGAACTGTGGGAGAGAACAAACCAGATTCCAGTGGGGGAGGAAATGAGGAAGAAGTGGTGGAAGTGGGTAGGACACACATTACGAAAAGCCAAGGAACACATTACGCGGAGAAATAGAGAGAGGAATAAACAAAATTTGGACAGAAGTGGAAAGGGAGGCCCAGGACAGAGTTAGTTGGAGAAAAGTGGTTGGCGGCCTATGCTCCATTGGGGTTAACAGGCGTAAGTAATTAAGTAAGTGGGTAAGTAATACTCCATAGTTGGTTAGCCTTCATTAAAGATTCTAGTTACATAAACTCTGACATTTACGTAATTATTTAAATTACAGAATCGATAAATCGAATCGGTGGTTTAGCTTAAAGACATAACAACGCATAGCATAATTTCATATTTGACCGATCGAACACCGTTACAAATATGATACTCCTGTAACTAAACTTATCACATGGAAAAACTCACATTTTTAAAAAAAACTCGAAATCGTTATCTCGTTTGTAAGAGTCGTTTAAGTAATCTCGTTGTCGATGTTAAGAGCTGTAAGTGATTAGTCTTTTTCTGTTGTGTGCATGCAACCTGAGCGGATCGCCTCGATTTTGAGACTTTTCGGCAGTTACTCAAGGAAATAACTATCTGAACTTAATACTTAAGTGGATTAGCGTCTGAAGTAAAAAAGGTTTAGGTTCGAGCCACAATACAGATGTCAACACAACTGCAGGTATATCCACTTGAAAATTCCCAGATAGCACGAAACTGTTAGGATATTCACCCAATATCCTAAGAGAATTATTGGTCTATTCCTATTGGTTAATTCCTACTGGTCAGTTTTATGGTCATCCTAGATATCAATGTCATTACTCCAATGTTGTTTCTTATTGGTTGTCCTGACTGTCAATGTCACTTCAAATATTTCTTCCTATTGGTCGTCTTAACTGTCAATGTCACAGACTTCGATGATGTTTCTCACCCGGTCTCGGATCCCTGGTCTGGGACCCTAATTCTCTTCTGGATTCGGGCCTCGTACTTTCTGAATGCTTGTAGAATACGGGTTCTACTTCATATCATGTCTTCATATTTTCACCCTATATGGGGATCGGGATAATTGGATTTGAGTAGCATTTCGTGGATCCTCAATCCTCGTTCTCGTTTTCCGACTAAGGTAAACTCGTAATAGTTCAAGCATATCAAGTTGACGTGTTTATGTGCAGGCGTAACAGAAACACGCGCCGAAACTGCACTTCTAACCACTTTCTAAAGCTCCTTTGAAAGGTTTCTGTTCTTGATGAATAGACAAAAAATAATGCCGTACACTTCATTATTCCTCTGTGCATACAAGAGAAGTGAAGTGATTTTCCTAAAGCTATTATATATTAAAAGACTTTTTAAAGCTTAGTCTCATATCACTAATATGTTCAGTTTGTATAAAATAGATCAAAGATTATAATCCAGTAGGCTGATTATCACCAGTTTGAAGTAAGTTCTTATTTTGTTAAGTTTCGGACAAATTTCCACTATTTCACAAAGTTAGCTAGTTATTCAGTGATGGTCATAAATAACTATTGGTCATTATAGCATGTAATTTATTAAAAAGCAGATATCGATTTTTTACGTTAATATTTAAATGAACAAATGATCATTGAACGTACTTAATAAGCTGCTGCCTATAATTCAAAAGAAAATGATAATCAAAATCGTTTAGATTCTAATTTATATTCAACAATCATTTAAAATAACATTTAAACTGTGTGCTTAAATGATTAAGAAACAATTTTCTATGCTTAATTTATCAATTCTATGAGTTTGAATAGAGAAATGAGAAGGCATATTTTGTGAGATAGTACCATTTCGTGCTTTCTCGTCAGTCACATACAAGCAACATGTTATTTGTGTAAAAACAGTTTTGAAGATAAGGTCAAAATTCCTTATTTAGCATGACATTCACTCACTAGAACCATGGTAAACAAAGGTCAACATACAGTTGTTTTTGAACACATAAAGTTGGACTTTTCCAACCAATCAAGATAGCTTCGAGTAGTTTGAGTGTTTGTGTGGGTTTTGATAACATGTCACAACTCTAAAGGCTGATTTTGGGTCAATTTGATGACCACTCATCATTAGATGTTTTGCAATGGACGAGGCTGGGTTCCTTGATCGATTTTGAGATGATGGGCTAGGTTGATGAATCATGGATTTGATTAACCATTTTGGAATATGTTCCCCTATCCTGTCCTGCAATCGGTGATCTGTCCTCCCTAAGTAACTTTCTCCGCAGTTACATGTGAATTGGTAAATACAGTGGGATTTGGACTGAATCGGTCTTGGAGACTTGATTGGGGTAACTGAGATCGATTGGGTTGTTAGGATAAGCCTCAGATTAGCTGCATTGAAGGTCTTTTTTATTGCAGCTGCAGTCTGTTTGGTTGTAATTTTCATGCAATTATCACCCTTATCAAAGGGAACCACTGTTTTGAATTCTATGAGTGTTTAGAATTGTTAAATTTGTGAAGAGGATTGTGGACAAGTTGTCAGATTAGTAATTTACTAAAATGTTTTCATTATTGCTTTGTTTGAACTCTGCATGGAGCCTCCGGGGGGGCTACTGCCGGTCCTAAGCCCGGATAAAGGAAGAGGATCGGGCAAGGGGTTAGTGACCAGCCCATCCCATAGAAAACCAACTCTCTGAAAAATTGCTAACCATAAAAGAGCAACTGATGCTCCATTGGGGGGTAATAGGTGTAAATAAGTGGGGAAGTGTTGGTTTGATTCATTTGTGTACGTTTTTAATAAAATGTCTGTGTTTTATAAGAAGAAGTATTTGTTTATTACTCAACTGTATGCTCATAGTAACTTGAAAATATTTTTGGTGTAATTTAGTGCAAAATAAATGCTGATAACATAAATTTACACATGAATTAACTTACTGTCATCATCTATAAAAAAGATTACATTAAAAGGTAGATAAATTTATAATCTTAATAAAACAATTTAATTGTACTTTAGTTTTGTCTAAATAAAAGTGACAAGTAAAGTTTATAAAATCATTTGCACTGATTTCAAGTTTTAATGAGATGATTTTCGATTCATCTCAACAAACAAATCATGTTACTGACTAGTATATAAGCAGTTATCTTAGAAATTCGAATCACACGAGAAAATTCACAATTGGAAAAGATAGATTTTTAATAAATTTAGTCAGCATGATAGTAAACCAATGGTTTGTTGGTATTCACAAATCTGGATTAACTTGCTTAGGAAACAACAGTTTAGTTATCAAAATACAAATGAAGAACCTGGCATTATGTCATGCCGTAATCCAAATCGTGAATTCCTTGCCAATTTAATTATGTCTACTGATACATGTAAACAATCACCGATATATATGGCCTTTTAAATAGTAAAGGTCAACCAAGTGCGTATAGTATACCCTAATACAGATATATCTTCTGAGAAATAGGTACCAATGAGTAAAAATTCAGTTAACTCGTACGGAACAACTAATGCTTAGTAATATCAGCATGACAGTGTCTTTTCAATAAGATGAATCCTGTAAAATGTTTTAGTCGTACATATTTCTAGTATTATGGTTTGTAGTAGCAGTAGTAGTGTAGTGCGAGCTACTTATAAGTAGTATATGACGTGAGTGTCAACGTAATGTCTGGCAGCAGAAGATAGGGGAAGATCAAGAAAGGAAGAGTTAGAACACAATGGAATTTGTATGAAACGCATGAATAGTGACAATGGATTGATGTTTTGCAACAGGAACAGTTCAGTTCGATATGATGGACTGATATTTTGCAAATTAACGATTTACGATATGGTTTTCCTATTTTACTGAGTAACTCTGTAATTTTCGTTAAATACAATCCGGTTGCCCCCACCTGTGTTCTTGTTCACTACGGTAGTAGTAGTGTGAGTAGTAGTAGTAGTAGTAGTAGTAGCAGTAGTAGTAGTTTAATTTAATTTGACCTACACTATTTCTAAGTTCATCATATTTAGTAAAACCAGTGAAAAAATCAATACTTAAACCATACAAATTAAGAGAAGCCGATACGCTTAACAACAAGTACATCTCAGATTAACAACCTAAACAGAAAGTAATAGTTCAGTCAGCGAAAAACGGATCAGCTGAACAGTTTTGCTTTAAGCCGGTTAATCACTAAATACAATTGTGATATTGTGTTAAATGAAATCGTATGAATATACTGGATCATCACAAAACTGTTCAGAGAAATACGTTTCATAACATGAAAAGCCTTGATTGAGTCAAACGAAAATACTGTATCCGATATCATAATTTTCCAGTCTGATCAATATATACTGACCAAATTATGGATCATGATGACTTATCATGCGGTATACGATATAAAGTATTTGTTTTATGCGTGTTCTCTGTTTATACTTGTAAAGAAAATCTCTCTCAAATCGATATTAGAAACGATGCAGCGTAACTATTTTCGATCAATAAAAGCAGAATATACGAAGTTTGAAACATCGTCAGGATGAAATTTTAGATAACAGACTGAGTACAAAGTACTGTAGATTAATTTCAGTGGCGCTTATTATGTCAATCATGTCAATCAAATCTAAACCTAGATTTGATTTGAGACGAAATGAAAATTTGGATAAACGTAGGCAATCATCAATAAATTCAAATATTATTTGTTTTTATGATTGAACACTGGATGTTCTAGTTTGAATAAGTGAAAATGTTGAACATTGAACGTGAACATTAGAAACGAATAATAAATAACACGAATTTATGTACGTACTTGCAGCTTTAATAAAAAAAACACAAATCAAATTAAGAAACTAAAGTCAATCCAAGTTAACATATTGTGTCTTGTACTAATTGAAAAAGTGAACATCTATCCTAGGAATCATGATTTCTAAAGTTTAGTTCTAAATAGTTGATTAATTTGTGAATCATTTTGAACCATTATTGAAAAAAATTTTCATTTTTTAAAGTTACACTGAAATGTATCGTATTAGTATGAGATTTGTCCTCATGTAATTGGAAGAGAAAATGAGCAGTTCGTGGTGAACAGATACATTTTAACTTTGAAATTGAGAACTGATCTTCGTTATACCACCATTAGGAAGCTAGAAGCACTGTACTACCGTTTCATTCTACTATGGGACTCATCAGCAGTGCGCATTCCTAGATTAATCAGAGTTAGGCGTTAACACCGTCGGATTCCGGCCCAGTGGTCCAGAAGTTAAGCGTTCACGCTCAAGACCGAAGATCCTGAGTTCTATTCCTGTGAGCTGTGGGGGTCGTGGCTGAGCTCTGTTAATGAGGCTCGTATCAGGTCTTACAAGTTTCTCAAGATGGTCTAGAGACGATTGATTCACGATTTCAATGTGAAATAACAATATCCATAATCTCTGTAATGAAAAATACATTTTCATTTCCTAATATCTACAGTCCGCATCTTCAGTTGAAATTAGTTACTTGCATAAACAAATGTATTTAAATTGCTAGAATATTAGCAGTTAAGAAATGATTGATCGATATTTAACCCATCCTTTAGTTCCATGATGAATTCTGCATGTAATGCATATTTAAGGTAATATTCGGGAATATGTTAATTCGGTTGGTATTAACTGGTTTTAGTGACAGTATGTTGTGAGAATAATTGGTAGCTTGAAATAGATCCACCTTAAACCTGTTACGCCTGCATATAAACACATCATAGTCGGAAAACGAGAGTGAGGATCGAGGATCCGTCGACACGACATGCTACTCTAATCCGAGTTTTCCAGCCCTCATTTAATAAAAGAAGAATTAGAACGTGTATTCTACAAGCATCCAGAAAGTACGAGATCCGAGTCCAGAAGAGAATCAGGACAGTGTACTAGGGATCCGGGTCATAAAACGTTCCAGATAATGCGTATTTATACAGTTAGGTCAAATAGGAAACATCATTGAAGTCTGTGACATTGACAGTTAAGACGACGAATAATAAACAACATTGAAGCACGTGACATTGATATCTAGGACGATCATAAAATTGACCAGTAGAAATTAACCAATAGGAATTGACGAATAATTCTCTTAGGGTATTGGATCAATAGTCTAACAAAACCACATTTCAGAAAATGCAGCCTGAGTTGAAACAGGAAATTGGAATATGATAATATTTATTTGAATGTGAGATTTTTCTGTCTGTTAGGCTTATAAACAGATAAATTACATTATCATATCACTTTAATCATATTTCACAGAAAACAGAACACAACACCATAGGTACTGAGTTCGATTTCCATAGGAGAGGGTTGTGGATGCACACTGCTCAACATGTTCCATTATAGGATGAAAAAGCGGTCCTTTGCTTCCAAGTTACAAATAGTGGTCATGTCAGTAAGGCTACTTCAAACAGACTAATTGTGTTAAAAACCACTGTGATTGTCTTGTAAATATATATTAATTCATATAACTGATTAAATCATATTAAAAGTATAAGACAAACCACAGCGAACTTACTTCCATCTGTGAAAATAAATCAAAACAAGAAATCACAACATTAAAATATTATCAATGGTAAAAATATCATTCAGTTTACGGTATAATATATATCTCTATGTAAACTACCCATTATCTATCTATTTTAAGTATGATTTCCATTCAACCTCTCTCAACACAACAAAATTTACACCTACATTCATTGATATTCATCATGTCAATGGTTGATATAATTCACGTGTAGTTCGACATGTCGATATGAATAACAGAAATCATTAATCAGATCAACCGTTTGTCTTGTACTATATGCACTAAGCAATTTGTTAAAACAATCAGGTTTGCTATGCAGTACATTACCGTCTACTTTGTAAAATATTAAGATTCTCTTTAGTTACACCATTTTATAGACGAGTGAATTAAATATAAGACATCCTCATTATGATTACAAACAATTGGCAATGAACATATGACTACTCAAAACAAATTCATGGATTAGAGTAGTATGCAGTAAATTGATGAAAATAAATGTTCTTAAACTTTTAACATACTCTGATCTTCTCCTGAATTTAAACAAAACCAACAAATTTTTATACTTAATTAGATATATGTGTATTGCGTATCATTATGAAGTATGAGTGTAGATTGAATTAGGGCGGTTAGTATTTCTACAGTTGAAGAACATTTGCAACTCAAAAATAACTGTCAACATACATCAAACTCAGAATTCTCAATACCAATGTCATGACAGTTCTGTTTTGTGGAAGTTGAAAGTTGAAGAATCACTAAAGACATCATCCACAAGATACAGATGTCTATGAACAGTTGTCTAGACAAGACTATGCGGCTCCGTTAGCCAGAAACCATAAGCACTAACCAACTGGTGGAGAAAACAATCCAGATTCTATTTGAGGAGGGAATTAGGAAAGGCATTAGAAGTGGGTAGGACACATACAGAAGAAATCCCCCTCACTGCATCATAAGGCAAGCCCTAATTTGGAGTCTTCAAGGCCAAACGAGAAGGGGGAGACCAAAGAACACATACGAACGGAGATATGAAGAATGACAGGAAAAGGATGGAAAGCAACCAGGTAGAACTGGAAAAAAGGGCAGAGGACAGAGGACGAAGGAGCATCCCGGTCAGCGACCTATGCTCCTTCAAGTTGAAAATTTTAACCGAAGACTAGAAAACTTAAAGTTTAATCTAGTGAATATTCAAAATAATTTCATCCATTATTAGTATGAAGTTTAGTGACGATAATAAATTTTTCAACGTACTCTGCTCTTCTCCTGAATTTGAAGAAAACCAACAAAAATTTTTATAATTAGTTAGATATGTGTGTATTTCGTATCATCATGAAGTATAATTATTAGTTGTACATTGAATTACATCTTTTTATTTTCACAGAATCTCTGAAGCTACAAAACTCGAAATATTCCTTGTACATGAAGATCATTTATCATCAGGCC